TAGCTTGTTTGACATGGTTTCAGAGCAGGCCCCATTTGCTCGGGCCTTCTCCTCACGCTTCCGCAGTGTACTCCCCCTTCCCCTCCCCCCGTCACGCCGCGCTGGCCCCGTCATGCCGCGCTGGCCTCGTCACTCCGCGCTGGCCCCGTCATGCCGCGCTGGCCCCATCACGCCGCGCTGGCCCCGTCACGCCGTGCCAGCCCCGTCACTCCGTGCCAGCCCCGTCACTCCGTGCCGGCCCCGTCACTCTGCGCCGGCCCCGTCACTCCGCGCCGGTCCCGTCACTCCGCGCCGGCCCCGTCACTCCGCGCCGGCCCCGTCAAGCCGCCGAGCCACTGAGCTGTGCCGCCGTGACTCAGTGCCGCCGTGTTGCCGTCCCGCGATGTCGCCGTGCCACGGTGCCACCGCACCGCCGCGCTGCCGTGCCGCCATGTCGCCGTGTGCTGTGGCGGCTTCGCCGCGCCAGCGCACGGACTGCTGCGGCCAGTGCCCTGTCCTAGGCGCCAGCCATGACGCCCTCACGCCAGTACGCTCCGCACCAGCCATGGCGCCTCGCTGAAGATTCGCCCCCCCACCTCCTCCGCTGCCTTTCCCTTCCTCCCTGCCATTGCTGCTGGCGGCCTCGTGCCATCCTCCCCCCTCGTCGTCGTAGTGTGAGCCACGCCGCCGGGTGCCTTGGGCGCTGTCGCCGCCGCCGCCGGGTTCCTCGATGCCGCCGCCGCCACCGCAAGTGCTGCAGGCCCTGCCGCCGCTGTCGCCGCAATCGCCAACGCCGCCGCCGCCACTGCGACCTGCCGTCGACGTCGCCGCCTCGATTGCCGAGGGGTCGACCCGCTAGTAGCCGCCACTGCTGCTGAAGGGCATGGGGGTGAAAGGGTTTCGGGGTGTGGTGTGTGGAGTGGGCTTTCGACTACCAAGCCTAGGGGGTGTGTCAAATTGTATACTTTATATATACATATACAGTATATATATATACATAGATTTGTTTAGGCTTGGTTGGTGTGTTACATTGCTGGAACCTACTGTAGAGGGGAAAACCCCCCCTTCTTGTATCTCTTTCTCTTCCTAGCTAAACCTCTCGACTTCCTATGCCTAGCCTAGTTCCATAGCTTCTTCGACAATAGGCTAGATTGGTTCATGCTCTTAAAGGGTACAATACCCAACCCTTTTCATTCTGCCCCCTAGCTGCATGCCTTGCTAGAGTTCGCTTCGTTACTCTGACAAGATTGGCCAAAGATTCAAGTGTCTGCGTTCCAAACATCGCGGAACTTCTGCGAGCGCACAGCTGCCGTGCGAGGAATGCCGATTGGTGGTATAGTTGACCGGGTACGACAGGGTCCAATCTCATTCAGCAAAAAAAGTGCATAGACCACTGCGCAAAATAGATGCGCGCCGTAATATGGGAACCTCTCGTCATTCCCTAAACTGACGAGACGAGAGGTTCGTAGGATTGTACCCTAACTATGGTAACCGCCATAGTTTGAGCCAGACAACCTCTCGTTGTACGTCTCCAGACGCGTACCCACTTGCACCGTTAATGTGAACACCCTGCATCACTAGAGTCATCGCCAGTCTGACTCCCATAATAGCTGCATGGCCTCTCAGGCGGCAGACTGGGCATGTTGCCATGTGGCGGTTCAGCAGCAGGGTACACCCTGGGCATGAATTCAGAATCAGCAGCCATGGCAGTAGGCACAGAAGGCATGCTCGCTCCAGCCTTGTACAGATTGGACGGGGAGGGGCACGACATATGGTATGTGAGGTGACCATATGGACATGCAAATTGATCAAGCAATCAGGAATTCGAAATAGGGTGAACAACCGAGGCTGGAACCCACACAAGCACACTCCTGGACCTCTTCCAGTAAAATCCATACCGGCCACCGGCAGTGGGGCTCCCCACTGCTGCTGCTGCTGCTGCTGCTGCTGCTTCCCCTGCTTCTGCTGCTGCTGCTCCTGCTGCTACTCTGGGGCGTGCTCTCCCACCCCCTCGTCTCCACTCCCAGCACTCCCAACACAGCCACCTCCCCCGCCACCCCCTCCAACCTTCCCTCGCTTACGCCCCCCTCTGAGGCGACAGAGGGCTGATGAGGCTACGCTGTGGCCGACGCGGCGGTCTCAACAACAGGGACTGTCTCAGCGACAGCAGTGGAAACGTCAGAGTAAGTGCACTGGGAGGGAGCACAACCCTGGAAGATAGGGACCACCGCAGTACTGCTAGACTGAGCGATAGTGTGCTGGCGGGTTTCTATCGCCGCCAGGGTGGCGACGAAGTCGCTAACGGTGAGGTCAGCAGGGTGGAGGCTAAGGAAGGCTTCGCGGGCAGTGGCTAGGCGGTCGAGGAGGCACGTGGCTAGGAAATAAAGCGTAGCACCGAGGGGGGGAGGAATTACTGTGAGCTGAGGCTCAGTGCTAGCAGCTCGGTAGCTCGACTCAAGCGTGCGCAGGTGAGGGGGAAGATCAGCAACAGTAGGGAAGGGCGCGAGATCAGGAAAGAGCAGGGGCGGGAGGAGGTGGCCAGCAGAGGTGGAGGAGGGAGTGGAATAGCGAGCAATGATGGCATCTAGATACTCCTTGGCTGTCTCTCTAAGGCATGAAAGCGGGGATGTTCGGACAGGGGGAGAGCGTGACTGATAGCTAGCTGTGCAGCTACTCCCAGACAGAGCGAGTGAGCTCAACAGCGTTAAAAGTCTCACGCTCAGCATGCGTGGGGGCATCAATTAGGGCAGCAGGCATGGGGGGGCAGGGCAGCTTATCATCGACATGGACGGCCAGGGATTGGCCTTCCTGGCACTGACCCTTCAGCTGGCGGTGTAGGTCGGAGAGCCACGCCTCAAAATTGACAGCTCGACCCTCCGCGTCCAGGCGGAAAACAGCGTCTGCCATCACGTAGAGCGGCAGCAGCTGGAGAGCTTAGGCGGAGGAGGAGCAGGGGGCAGGCAGGTGTGATGGAGTGCGGTGGAGAGCGGATGGGTGTGGTGGGGTGCGGTGGAGTGCAATGGAGTGCGGTGGAGTGCGGTGAAGTGCGGTAGAGTGCGGTGAAGCTTCAATAGAGGAGACAGCCGGCTGGAGCGCTGGTGCAGAGGAGAAATCAGGGCCGGTGGCAAGCTGGGGCAGGTAGCGAGTAGGCACCGATGGTGAGCAGGGGCCAGCGAGGCGAGCTGAGGTGGCGCGGCGAGCCGAAGTCGATGCGGCTAGCTGTTGCGGAGCGGCAATCTAGGGCGGCGTGGCAAGCTGGGACCGGCGGCGAGCTGGGGCCGGCGAAGAGCTGGGGCCGACGGCGAGCAGGGGGCCGCGGTGAGCTGTGGGCCACGCATTAACCTGGGGTTGGCGGCGAGCTTGGGGCCGCGCGGCGAGCTGGGGCCGGCTGCGATCCGGGGCCGATGGCGAGCAGCGGAGCCACGGTGAGTTGGGGGCCGCGCGAAGAGCTGGGGCCGGTGGCGAGCTGGGAGCCGCGCGGAGAGCTGGGGCCGGTGAGTCGGGGGCCGCGCGGCGAGCTGGGGCCGACAGCGAGCTGGGGCTGCCGGCAAGCTGGGGCCGGCGGCGAACTGGGGCCGACTGCGAGCTGGGGGTCGCGCGGCTAGCTGGCCGGTTGGAAGCCTGCGCATCCAACCATCCACTTTGCCATACGGTGCCACACTTGCCACGCTGGCCCCTAGCTCGCCGGGCTGGGCCCTAGCCCGCCGCGCTAGCCTCAGCCCGACGTGTCGGATGACTCCTTTACAGCACTCTCCTCTACTAGTCGAATCACAATCTGTAAATTGTGAAGTGTACTTACACATTTTTTCATTTTGTGACACGACTCTGCGAGGAGTGTGCAGTGTACTCGTTATAGGAACAACGAGACATCACGGGAGAGGAGGGCGACGATGGCCCTATAGCGGTCGAATGGACTAGCATGAGAAGGACACTATAAGGTGCGGGAGGCCTCGACAAGCTCGTGGTCGAGCCGGGTGATGTACAAATCCTTCGCGCTGTCGCCACGCCACCTACCGAGCACCTTAAAATGGCGATATGGCAGACCAACATCCATTGCGAGGGTGGTGGCCGACTTGCGAAAGGAATGGGTCCCAAGGAGCTTGGGGTCGAGGCCGACTTGGACAAAGGCCTCGTGACACCAGCAGCGAATAGTGGCGTATGAGGGGGTCGTGTCCCTGGGGGATGCGCCGCCACCGAGGCGAAAGACTCGAACAAGAGGGCCAAGCATACAAGTAGAGAAGCCAGGGAGGAAGAGAAATTGCTTCAATCGAGCAACTGGGCTGTGCCGGGCAGAGGACGCGGTCACAGGCACCCACGCAATCTCAATCTAAACCCTAAACCCTGAAGCCTGATCGGTCTTCGATCGGGGGATGAACAACCACATGCAATCTTGATCGAATTCGATCTGGTGCCATTGCAAAGCGACCAAATCCGAAAAGGGGAGGAAGCTCGTGAACGTGAGAAGAGGGATCAAGCCCTTTTGGAATGTGGCAGGGTTGGAGGAGGTGAAGTAGTGATCACAGATGTAAATAATATTTGAGGGAGGAATAGGTTCCTTTGTGCGTGAAGGGCGAGCGCAATGGCGGTGAGCGTAAGCTTTCACCTGGGATGTGAATGAGCTGCGGATAGGAGAGGGGAGGCCGACCATCCAATGGGTGCATGAGATGGCCGAGCAAATGGGCCGCACTGCGGATAGCGTCGCTCCGGAGCGAATGGAATGGAGGAGGAAGAGTGCAGTGGTGAGATAACTGCCCGGGAGAAATGACAGCGAGTGACGGGCGCAAAATGCTCGGTACTGGCGCCAATAAGGCTCATACATGCGAATGGCCGACTGAGTGCGAAGGTCCACAATAAGGGTCAGCAGGTCCGCCAATATGGGACCCGAGATAAGAACCTACATTACCGAGTTACACAACATCAGTAAATATCAATCGGAGGGCGTACATTGGGGAGTTGGGTAGTCCAGCACCGCTAAAGGCATGATGGTCACTACCAACAACTAAACAGCTAGAACCGATAGGAAGAAGGATTGCATGGGCAATCTCAGGAGCCCAACTGGCGCCATTAGGGCAAAGAAGGGGCCACCGGAAGGCGCCCGGCCACTTCGGGAGAATGAGCGTAAGGGGTGCTCCTGAGCGGCGCGCATGGATCAATACAGCAGGAATGAGAGATGGTGGGGGAAAAGCGTAGCAATTTCCTTGGCCCAGCTGAGAGAGAAGGCATCTTGAGCTATGGCCAAGGGGTGAAAGAATGGGGTGCAGCAGCTAGACAATTGAGCATTGGCCGGCGAAGAAAACAAGTCGACCGTGTGTGGGCCCGAATGCTGCTCAAAGAGGTGGAACCAAGGCGGCACAAGAGAGTAATCGTCATGGTTGGCCACCTTAGACAACTCATCGGCATTAGTATTGAGTTCGCAGGGAATCCACTTGGTGGTCAAGCGGGTTCGAGAGTGCACGCAGAGTTGGATGATTGCACGGCAAACGAACGTTAGCTCGGAGCGACACAAGCCGCTTTTCGAAAGGATGAATTAATCGGACTGGCTATCTATACGAAGGAGGACATGTCGACACTGAATCGCGTGGGCGAATGAATTCAAAGCCCAAAGGAAGCCAACTAGCTCTCTCGCCGTGCTTGAGGTGTTAAGGAGTGCCAGAGGCAATAGTGAGGATAAGGAGTCACTGTGTTCATCTGGCCACAAATAACAGGCCCCCCATGCATAGTCGCTAGCATCGACGTATAATATGACGTCGTAGAGGCTTGTATTTTGAAAAGGCGAGCCATTGAAAACGTCAAACTGCGTGAGCCAAAACAGGCAGATGTCCTCCCCCAATGAGTGACTATTGGCAATCTGGGACAGCAGGTTCCGTGAAAAGGCACGAGCAACAGTGCCAAGGGCCAAGGCCATGGATGCGAGCATGCCCGAAACACGGGCGAGACGGTGATCCGGCGTACGGGACCCGCGGGAGCTGGCTGTGCAGATGCCCTAGTGGCGCTAATGACAAGGATAACATCGACATAGGGAATAAGTCGAATGGCTTGACTACGCCACCGCTTAGCACGTTGTTTGATCAGCTGCATGAAAACGAAAGGTGCCGTCGCGAGACCAAACGGCAATGAGAGGAATTGGTATCGCTGACCCTGCAAGGTAAACCCGAGGAACCGCCAACAATCGGGGTGGATATCCACCTGATGGTTTCCGGATTTGAGGTCGATGGTGAATAACTAGTCGCCTTGCCACACGAGATCTCGGACACGATTAAGTTCTTCTTAGCGAAATTGAGGCACCGCGAGAAAAGAATTCACATGTCGGAGGTCCAAAATCAATCTTTTTTTTGTGGGTTGGATGACCACATTGAGTGGGTTAACACAGGTGAGCTCGACGGATGTGTCCACTACCCTGGCGGCACCAGTGGTGATGAGGTCAGCGACCGCGTCCACTGCAAAGTCAGAGAACTGTGCGGCTCCCGCGTGGTTCGATGAAAACCGGGGGGTGGGCTCCATTGTGGACCATGGTAGGCGATACCCGGCCAAGATGACGGAGAGGATAAACCGACTATCGCACCAGCTGACCCACCAAGCTATTTGGTCACGGAGACGTCCACGAGTACGCTTGGGGGTAGGCACATGCCTTATGAGCGCAAAGTGGACCTTGCAGGGTTGAGAGGAGGAATGAGTGAACTACCGGTAAGTAGGGGTACAAAGTACAACCCAGTGATGTAGTACAATATGCAAGTGTTAACTGCACCTCTCCTCCGACCCACAGATGACAAAGCATGCACCGACCCATGGTGTGCCGTCACAGCCGGCGGGTTGATTGATTTTTTATTTTTATTTTTAATTTATGGGCGAGATATATTTGTAGACACAGGCAGAGCCAATGGCCGTTGTGCCTCCTCCCATGACCACCCATCTCATCATACGATAGGTGGCTTGTTTTGGTAAGTATTGTTGTTATGGTGGTAGTTTTTTTGGGTTGTGGAGCAACCTATTGCAATCGACCGGGCCGGTTTTTTTTCATCCTAAAATTTAAACTACACAAAAAAGCCACAAATACTATAGAATTTTAAGCTAGCTTATTTTTGTTCCTGTACATTCAACATATACTTGGTATACATTGTCGTACTAGTGATCCAACATAAAGATTGAAAATATGTGCACATATTTTCAATTGACGCACAACAAATGACAAACCAGAAAACAAATAGAAAACAAATGTCGATAATTTGTTTCCTAAAATTTCCTCCTTTTTTTCTAACTGACGAAAAATACAACATATCTATGGCTTCCCCTGTTCTAGCAAGGGGGGGAAGTCAATGGAGTAGTGATTAAACAACACAAATTGTGAATTTCAAAAAACAAATTGCACTCATCACTTCCAGTTCAAATGACTGCACTCACGGAGCGTGTCAAGAACCGTATGTGAAATGATGAGAACAACCCAGTTTTTGAGAAGCACAAAATGCATTGCTCATGTAGGTTGCTGATACTGGAGTGATTACGATAAGGGAGCAAAGACCATCAATTAAACAACCAAGGAAAAACACAACTTCAACACTAAGGAAGACATTCAACATCCTGGAGTAAGATCAAGATCTGTGTCAAGACGTGCAGAATCAAGAAATGAAAATAAAGGGAAAAGGGGGAATCAAAAACATATTGCAACCACAACATTGGAAGATAGGGAAATAGATTCTTTGGAAAGAAGCACGAGACATCAAACTGAGGATGGAAATGGGGAGGTAGAGAAGAACTCAATGAAAGGAAGGAAAAGGATTGGAGTGAAGAGGGAGGTGAGGGGAAGGGGTAGAATGCATGCCATGTGTCAAAGTTGAAAGTGATCTCTAGCTTTTCCTCAACTAGCTTGTAAAAACCAAGAGAGAAGAAATCCTGGGAAAGGTGGATGATAAGATAGCTCAGAAAGGAAATAAGGCTACTATACTTACCGAGCTAGAGTAATATGTCGTAAAACTGAGAGCAAACCAGCCAGCACCGGCTGATGGCGTGCAGCACAGGCCTCAGGATATCAGGGTAAAATACCCTTACGGCCCTTATAATAAGGGTGGGGTAGGTGTTGGTGTTAGAATACGAGAATAGTGACTAGTGTGAGAAACCTAGAACATATACCTGTTGGGGTTGTACTCACTAGAAGCACACACCTAGTCTAGCCTATAACTTCTACATACAGTATATGTATAAGTTGACACTCCCCCTAGGCTAGAGAAGGGGTGGTGCTAAGCAAGAAGCACAAATCTCAGGGTGGCACTACTAGTGAGGAAAGGGTCCTGAGACCAGTCAGCAAGAGAACAAACAAGACTAAAGCAAGCCAGGGTGGCACTACTAGTCCAGCCATTGGAGGAAAGGCCACAAGGCCAGTCAGACAGGTATATATATAGCAGAGAGTACACAATCCAGGTCCTAACAAGTGAGTAGCTAGAGGAACAAGACCAAGCTGTACACAGTGCCGCTGATGATCTCTAGCCGCAAGAGCCTTAGTAAAGATATCAGCTGTGTTGGCACCGGAGGCCAAGTGTACTACGCGGGCCTGGCGGCGCTGCTGCAGCTCGCGTAGGAGGAAGTACCGCAGCTGGATGTGCTTCGCTCTGCCCTCAAGTTGAGGCTCCTGACACTGGAGGATCATGGCCCTGTTGTCAGCGTAAAGGACTGGGGCAGAGCTAGGCCGCTCACCTAAGTCTGTGAGCAAGAAGGTCAGCCAGCGGAGCTCCTGTGCCGCCATGGCACCCGCGTAGATCTCAGCTTTACAGCTGGACTAAGCAACAGACGAAGAACGGGTCGATCTCCAAGAGATTGCACCCGAACCAAGGCTAAAACAGTAGCCCTGAGACGACCTGAGAGTCTCAGAGTCCTCTGCCCAAGAAGCGTCTGTGTGCCCAGTAAGGACCACTGGCCTGCGTCCTCCCAGCACAAACCCCATGGCCGATGTACTTGCTAGATATCGCAAAACCCTCTTAGCGGCCGACCAGTGCTGTGGTCTGTGTCTGCTAGTGGCCACAAAGCGAGCCAGGATGCTGAGAGGGTATGCGAGATCTGGGCGAGTGCAAGTCATCAGGTACATGAGGCAACCCACCAGCTCTGCGTAGGGGCCGCTGGGCTCTACTGTCTCCTCAAGAATGGGAGCGGAGAGTCCATGGTCTACAGGTAGAGGTGTGGGCTGTGCGGAGGAGAATCGAAGACCGAACATCTGAAGGACCTGACGCACCAAGTGTGATTGTGTCAGAGTGATGGTGCGTGCTGCTTTGTCCCTAGAGATCTGCACGCCAAGATAGCGACACAGCTCTCCAAACTCAGTGCAGGTGTGTCTTTTCAGCAGCTCGCCCTTCACGGAGGCAAGTGCGTCCCTGTCAGCAGTAGTGAAGACCAGGTCGTCTACGTAGACAAGGATGTAGAACGGAGTCTGGCCGGAATGCACAAACAGTGAGGGGTCAGCAGAGGACGGAAAGAACTGCAGGTCTGCTAGCGTGGCACATAGCGTGTCGTGCCACTCGCGAGGAGCCTGGCGCAGGCCGTAGACCAGGCGCCTGAGAAGCCACTGGGTCCCTGGGAGGAAGGTACTAGTGAAGCCCTGTGGTCGGCACAGGAAGACCTGCTCGTGTAGGCTGCCCTGAAGAAAGGCAGTAGAGACGTCGAGGGAGTGCAGCTCGTAGTCACGCTGTGCTGCTACGTGTAGGATCGCATGAAGAGTAGTCATCTTCGGGGTCGGGGCGAAGGTCTGGAAGAAGTCTACGCCCTCGCACTGGTTGAAGCCTCTAGCCACGTAGCGCGCCTTGAAGACAGGCGGCTCTTCAGGGGGGCGCTTCACCTTGAAGAGCCACCAGCCATTGACTACGTTCACCCCAGGAGGGGGAACTGCGTCGACGTAAGTGCCGGTGGACCTCCAAGATGCCATCTCCTGCTCCATGGCAGCTATCCACTGAGAGGCCCTGGGACCTGAGGTGGCCTCAGCGTAGGTGCGAGGGGTCGGGATGTCAAAGGCGTCTGGGTCACCCTCAGGCACTAGGAGCATGGAGCAGAGATGGGGAGCGGCCTCGGAAAGGAAAGCAAGCTCGTACTGCCTGTCCTCTAGAACGTCACTGCCAAGGGCAGGTGCACCCCCGACGGACGGAGGACGGGCAGGGTCAGAGACCAGAGCGGTAGCGTAGTCAAGGCGGTGGGTAGAGGCAAATTCAGCGACAGCAGCGACAAGCGCGTCAAGGCGCGAGACAGGAACAGACGGGTCGGTAGCAAGAGAGGCAAGAACCCGAGGGACAAGGGGATGAGCGGCACGTAGGAAGTCAGACAGCGGGGGAGGTGCAACAACAAGCGACGAGGGAGGAGGCGACGGGAGGAGGGGAGGACGAGACGAGTGAGAACGGAGCAACATAGGGTGGGAGCGCAGGACAGGAGAGACGGGACGAGCACGTGAGGGGCGGCGAGACCAAACGTGGGACGAAGGTGTAGGGTCAGGAGACAGCGGAGGGGACACAAAAGGGGAACGAGGAGGAAGACTGGCCGGAGACTAGTCTGGCGGCGGAAACACAGAGCCGTAGACAGGGAGGTGAGCAGGTGGTGGGGAAGACACCGGCGAGCGGTCATGAGAGGGAAGGCCGAGCAGGCGAAGAGCAGAGACTGGCGGCGACGGCTGCGGCGGATGCTCCAGCGGCTGGTGCTCGACCCTCGGACCGGCAGGGGCACGACGACCGTCGGGAGAACACTCAACAGAAGCACCCCCAGAACCGACACCCCCAGAGCGAGAACTCCCTCCAGCACCAGCGGCACCCCCAGGCCTTCCGGAGCAGACCACGCCAGGGGCCGTAGGACGAACACCCTCCTCAACACCAGCACCCCCTGAGGCCAAGAGCGCCAGCGGCGGCGGTGGCGGTGGCAGCGGCGGCGGCTGCAATGGCGGTGGCGGCGGCGGCTGCAATGGCGGTGGCGGCGGCGGCGGTGGCGGCGACGACAGCGGCGACAGTGACGGCGACTGCGACAGTAGAGGGGAGGACACCGGGGAGGGGGGGCACGGCATAAATGGGCCGAGGGGACCACCAGAGTCAGCAGACTCCTCAATGAGGACAACCGACGGGAGGGGAGTGACATGGGAGACACCAGACGGGGCAGGACGAGGCGGGAGGGGAGCAGGGGCTACCGGGAGAGAGGGAGCAAGGAACAGGGGGGGGAAAACCGGGAGACCTCGGTGAGGGAAGCGATGGAAGAAGGAGACAGACTCGTCAAAGGTGACGTCACGAGAGTGAAGGAAGCGGTGAGACTGCGGGTGGTAGAAGAGCTAGTCAGACGAGTCCAGGGGGAAACCGAGGAAGACACAGGGGACAGTGCGGGCAGTGAGCTTGTCCGTGCCAGAGGCACGAACGTGAGCAAGGCAGCCCCAAACGTGGAACGCAGACGCGTCACCGGGGGACCCCGTCCAAAGAAGGGTCGGCGAAACCTGCAGCCGCTGGGAGCGTGGCCACAAGTTAAGCTGGTGAGCGGTGTAGCGAACAGCGAACGGCCACAGAAAATGGGGG